TTTTTTTTTTTTTTTTTTTTTTTTTTTTTTTTTTCTTTTTTAAAATTTAATTTTCTCTCACCGCATGTGATTCGCCTTTATTTAACTAATTCCTCCTTCCCCAGTAATGAACTTGCTTACCATTTTTTTTTTAATATTAATTTTTTATTCAAAGGGTTATTTATTAATTTAAATGTTTTGTGTTTATATTTAATGAAATTGATATCGACATTTTGTTGATATTTTTATTAATATTAACGGACTAGGAGATTTTTACATATTCGTTGGAATATTATAATTAGATATCAATATGGAAAACGTATGGGTAGTTTTTGTGGTATCTATTCTCCATCTTCACTTTATTCATGTCAGGCACTATAAGAACAAACTCAAGCTGTAACACAAATGACAAATTCAGGCCGTTGAAGAAGAATTAGACCATAAAAAAGAGCCTAAAACCATCCCCTCGACCATATGAAATTATAACCGTCCAAGTTCACCACACCTTGTCCGTTTTGACTTATTGCATATCGTCGTTAGTTTCACGATTTTAAAACGCGTTTTCTAGGGAGAGGTCTCAACACCTTATAAAGAACATTTTGTTTCACCACTCAAAAGAGCACACCCCCTCTATTTATGGCTTCTTAGTTCAATTCATGAAGGACAAGCGTTATTGTAAAATGAAACCACTATGAACGAGAAGTGAAATAAGATAAACTCATGGATGATTTCATGAGTTTCTAAAGAAACCGAGTTAAACGTTGTAGACATTTTTTTCAAGACAATATATTTGACGAATCTTCCGAAACTTTATCGATCAGGAGTGTCCCTCACAGTCAAATGTAATGTAAAAAGTATATATGATAGATCCTATGAATATAGTCATATTTATGGATTAAATATATAGTTTATAGTAGGTATATTATATTATATGATAGATCCTATGTATATGTGTGTGTATTCATAAAGTTATTTAGGGATATAGTCAAGATGCTATTAGAGTATGATTTTGATTATATTTGATTCTCAAATATATAATCTTAGGTATATATCAGATTCTCGTGAGAAAAAAAATAAAACATGTGATAAATATAAATTCATTGTATATATCATATTTATTCAATAAAACATATAAATTGAGCTAAAACTAATTTAAATGACTCAACTTATAACGACATAGATTAAACAAGGATGATGAATCGACTGTGTTAAGTTCTCTGCTATACTAACTCGAATCGACTTAGGCACCTTGCTTTGAAATGAGCTGAATATTCACGCGATGAGCTAACTTAACTCACTAGTCAATCAAAATAAGACAAGAAAACTCGACGTAATAAGATTAACCGACACCGACTTCAACTCACGGAACTTATAGCTGATTCAATTCATGAATTTCTGAAACAACCTACAAAAGCTACAATATCACAGATATATCTACTTCCATCTAAGACACTGAAGGGAAAAACAAGAACAATTTCAACAAACATAGTAAGATATACATCAAATGGAACTAACTGCTATCAAAGAGTTCTTGTATGACACTAAGTTGCCAAGTTATGATAAATTTGGACTCCAGAATGCAACCAAATAGAGTTTCTATGAAGAAAACTTCTATGGATGAAGTGAAATTGATATGTATGACCAAAAAAAGGTAAGGAATGCATTACCATTTGGAAGCATTTCATGATCTTCCATCCTCTGATTCACTAACTGAAGCGCTTTGCATCTCAAGTAGCTTTTGTTGCTCTTCTTCCTCAGTTTCTTGTACTCTTACCTCTTTCGTGGCTGCCTTTTGCTTCGAGCTCGTCGATTGTTGATATAGAATTCCACCGAACATACATATCAATAGCCCCACAGTTCCAATGAATGTCGAATGCTTATCCCAGATGACTAAATTAATCACAACTGTCAGGAGTTTGTTCACGATTCCGAGTACGGTGAATCCAGTAGCAGAAATAGCTCTTCGACAAGAGAATCCGAAGAAGGAGATCGATAAGCCAAATAGGCATGATAACCCAACAGGCAAAACGACTGCAAATGAGTGCCAATCCGATTCGTCTGAGATTTCGTGCTTGATTTTTTTGAGTTCACCCATGATAAGAAGTTCTAATGGAAACAATAGAAGTGCCTCTAAGTTGTTGTACAGAACAAGACCCCATGTGTTCAGCCCTATGGTCATAACAACATGCTTTATGTACACAAAATCTATGGACATGCTTATGAGATAAGCCAGAGCCCAAAAGTAAGCTGCCAAGGTGAATTGATAATCTGTAAGTACATAAAGAACACTACCACCGAGGATGGTAGCGAGTGAGAGCCATGTCTTCATCGATGGCCAGGGCTGGTGCAGGAAAAGAGTCTCACCAATGGCAACAAAAATAGGTACTGCTGAGCGGAAAACGATGAACGTATCAACATTAGCATGCAAGAGAAGTTCACTGTTGGTGAATAGAGATAGATAGAATATAATAGCAGCAGGTAGGAACCGCCACATTGTCAAGAGATCAAGGCGATCGTGTTCAATAAATCCAGCCTGACCACAAACAAAAACTCCAGCAGCACTAGTGAAGTATTGCAGGGCAGTCAGGGCACCCGGGTACGGGAACTTCATGACTGCCCATTTATTGATGATAGAAAGCAGGGAGGCGGAAATACAGTACCCGGCAGCAACACCGTATACTGAGACTTGCTGCAGAACCATGGCATACCAGTTTGATGGGATCTCACCTGATAAAGCAGAAGTCCCTGGCCCTTTCTTGACCTTATCAGCATTATTGGGGTTCTCAATATCATCTTTATTAGACATCTATCAAGAATGAGAAACTAAGTTAGCGAAGGAGATGAACCAGGAGAGAGCAAAAACACATTCCCTGAACAAAATAAGCTAAAACATCATTAACATAAACCCTCTGTAGTTTTCCTCTATGATATTCTTCTTTTCTCGATTTTTCTTTTGATAAGAAACAATTTCATTGATGAATCCATAATGATTACAAAAGGAATTCGCAATTCATACAATATGAAGCGAAAATGTTAGACAATTTATCCGAAGAGATTGCATAATAAAAAACAAGATCGAAAAACCCATCAAAGGTGAGCTCTTCATCCATGAACACCCTTTGGACTCTTTCCTTCATAATTTCCAATAGAAAGCTTAGGTGATATTTGTGATATCCTACATCGGTTGGGGAGGAGAACGAGACATCATTTATAAGGGTTATAAGGGTGTGGAAACCTCTCCCTAGCATACACGTTTTAAAAACCTTGAGCCCAAAGAGGACAATATCAGCTAACGGTGGGCTTGGGCGGACTTGGGCTGTTACAATATTTGTCCATAACCATTGCATCACATCACTAACGAGGTGCCCCTTCTTTTCTTGATTTACAATTTCAAGATCGAGCTGATATCAACTCGATATTAAAGCTAACTCAATCTTAGGGTTCAGATTCAAAATTTGGAGTATTGCTAGAAATGTACATTACAGCATAGCTGTAGGGGGGAAACGAAGCACATAATTGCTTTGAGAAACTAAGGCCTCTTGAATGCTTAGTAATCCTCTTTCTCTCTTCAATCTCAAGATAGGTTCCCATCAACAGACCAAAATGATAGTAATGAATGAACAAAAGTTCTTCCAATCCAACACTTCAAATTATTCTTCTTCTGATTGGGAAAAAGATTAACAAAAACCTTCAACTCCTTGTGATTAAAAACGCATCAACCACAGTCCATGAAGATTTAAACGAATGAAACCCACCTTAAACTCCCAGTTCCGACAATCATTCAAGTACAAAAAGCACAAAAACAGCAAGGAACATTTCAGTTTCTAGATCATTTCAATTCATCCCCAAACATTCAGGAAAAGGAAAATGAAGAAAACCTAAAATGCAAAAATCCCCCTTAATCAACGAAGATCAGAAATGGAAAATACGAATTAAATTAGACAAAAAAGCTCGAACGAATTACCTGCCACCGACAATGGCTTCTCAAATCCCGAAGCCGGAGGAGAACGGTGGAAGGAAAATGGGTGTTCTGAGAATTGTATTTATATTCTCAAATGATTCCAAGCTGTCTTCCCAAAAGGGAAAAGCTCACTACAACTGTACCAAATAAGAGGAACTGCAAGAGAAAGTGGGCTCGATTATAAGCGGTGGATGAACGGTTCAACCAAACCGAACCGAGGAAACCGTCCGGTTCAGGAATGTGGAACTCGGCACATGGATTTGCATCTCTTATTTATTACTTTTTAATTTATTATATTGTTTTTTTTAGTTTTTATATTTATAATTTTAGGTACTTAAGTTAAATCATTATTATTAAAAAAAAAAAAAAATAGAGCGAAATTTTATATTCTTTTCTTCTGATTTATCTTTTATTTTCCTAAAATTAAATCATCATTTTTAAAAAAAATAGTATTATTTTTATAGGCAAAATTATAATATTTTTATTTTAAATTATTATAAAATATTTTTTTTTTATTTTTATAGGCCTACTTGCAGCAAATTTATTGAAAATTTATGTAATTACTGGACTAAAAAAGTCAACTAATTTTTTTAAAACTAAAACATTAATCGAGAAATTCATCTTTCTTCGTGCCTACAAAGACTAATTACCCTTCTCTTCCTAGCAAACGCGTTTTAAAATTATGAGGCTGACGGTGATACGTAAGGGTAAAAGCGGACAATATTGATTAGCGGTGGGCTTGAGTTGTTACAAATGGTATTAGAGCCAAAACACCGAGTAGTGTGCAGCGAGGACGTTGGCTTCCAAGGGAGTGGATTGTGAGATCCCACGTCGGTTAGAGAGGGAAACGAAACATTTCTTATAAGGGTGTGGAAACATCTCCCTAGCGTGTGTTAGACGGAATTCTAGTAATTTATGGATGGTTGGTCGGACTTTAGGGGCTCGATGATCCTGAAAATATAAAGTAATGAAATTAATATTATGTAAAAACATGAAAAGTGGAGGCAAAGAAAGTGAACAAAAAGCTTGAAACTAACTCAAAGGGCTCCCTAATCAAGTTGACCCAATTGGATCTATGCCTATATTTGACTCATTAATATCACATTCATAATCTTAATTAACTTACTTAACAAAAACGCTACACTTATGAACACTTAAAACATAGTTTTAATTTAAGCCTTAAATATATTGAACCCATATGCTTTGTCTTAACGTTTTGGGAGTTATTATTTTAAAATAAAAATAAAAATAAATAAATAAATAAAACATTGAAGTTGACTTAGTCAAACAGAAAAATACTTATTATATAAAATAAAATACCCAAGATTGCGTCTACCAACTTCTAGCTCTATCATTGATGGTACTTTCTTATCGATTTTTGTTTCTGAAATATCTATGTATTTATTTCAAATATATATCATAAATATTTTGGGTTGGGATTGTTAGATCATTTATTCAAAATTTTATTTGTACTCTTTTTTTTATTTTTAATAATAGTAAAATGTGAGTTTTTACTTATTTTTAAATATTTAATTAAAATAATTGTACGTATATATAATTATATGGTAAAACAAATATTTTTTTAAAATTAATAATAAATTCGATTGACATGAACTAAATTTATAAATTATTTATTTATTTAAATATCATCTAATTCAAATAAATAATGTTTTATTAATATCAATTCGTTAAAAAAAAAATAATAATAAGTTTTAAGAAGGATGTAAAGAGCTATGATTTTGTAAGTTAACCTGTCAAAATGCTAGAGAGTGGTCGATATGTCCCACCATAGGGCTTAGACCTACAATATAAAGGTCGTTTGAAATTCCGTTTAAGAGAAACTATACTATTTTTAGATGTTTTAGGGTACTTTTAAGAGTTGTTGTCCGGGAGATCTAAATACGAAGTATTCTTTATAAGGTTGTAAAAATCTCTCTTTAATATACGCGTTTTAAACTCGTGAGGCTGATGACGATATATAACAAGCTAAAACAGATAATATCTACTAATAATGGACTATGACGGTTACAAATGATATCAGAATCAATTATCGGACGGAATGAAACACTAGTTGAAGTAGGGCTAGACCCTCTCCATACCAGACACATTTTAAAGTTGTGAGGCTGACAATAATACGTAACGGAGTAAAACAAACAATATCTACTAGCGATGGATTTGAGCTGTTATATTCGAATCAAATTCCAAATAATGGACCATCGTAAATTTATTATAAGTTTGGAAATTGATCGTTATTTATTTGAAAGATACACATAACCACCGAGCATTGTTCACATATAAATACCCACTAAAGATCACAACAGAGATACACAAAATGGGTTCCAATAAGAAGCATTTGATACCTCTGGTGATCGTCTTATATCTTATGCTTTTCCTTTCATCCTATGGGGCAGCAAGGTTCTTCATTCCAAATGGTATTTTTCCTTTTTTTTTTTTTTTTTTTTTTTTCTCGACCAAAATCGATGAACAGTTTATAAGATTCGAGCTTTTTCAGGATATATGAACGCCCTCGAGACGAAGCCAATTATGTTGGGACGAATTATGCGACGAGATTTGGCATATGGAGGAAATTATAGTCCCGGAAAACAGTGATATGATTGTAAGAATACGAACTACTAAAAGAATATAGTGAATAAGTTCTTATTTCTTTATTAAGTTGAATTCTGTTCGAATGATTAAATTTTAATCTCGGTGTAGATTGAAATCTTGTTCTTCTTATTTGTATTAATATAATGTGTTTGGATGGATTATAAAAGTAAGTTATATTTCAATTTATAAATTTAATTACTTAAAAATATTATTTTGGTTAATTAATAAAAATATACCTCAAAACTTTATTAAAAAATATCATGAAATTTTAAAAAGTCGCATTAACATCTTTTATCTTTATAAAAAAAAATTAAAAAAAGTTCTTACCGAATATATAGATAAAAGTTATTTATCAGCTCCTCATATATTATTTCCAAACTTTTTAACGTTACTTTTAAAAGTTCGCGAGTATTTTTAAAATACTGTAGGATCGTAAATGTATTTTTAAAATTTTAAACCATATTTTAAAAACAAAATATTAACCATTTTTATTTTTTTTATAAATTCTAGAATATTATTGAAACTTTAAAAATATATAATTTTATTAATTTATGGTGTTATTTTCATTTATTTTATACGATAGCAATAATTAAAAAAAATAGAGTGAAAATCTATATTTATATATATATTTTAAATGAAGTTATGGTAAGGGATTTATTTATTTATTGTTTTTCAAAAGAAAAACTAATGAACCTAAGTATAGCTTGAAGGTCCCTATTGTAAATAATTCATCTTTTTTCAAATAAAATTTATTATTAAGGAAATTTTTAGACAACGTTCTTTACCTTCCATATTATATATTAATGTCATTCACTTTTTGAAATAATGTTATAAATAAAACATGTTTTTCGGGAAAAAATGGACCAAAATTTAAAAATATACCAATAGTTTCTAAGATAAGATGGACTTTTAAAATATATAAAGTGCCGTTCTTCGAAAATAATGGCGTTTTTTCTTGAAAATGAACTCAAAATTGAATGAGGAAAAATGTTCGGTTGAGAGATTTGAAGAACTGTAGAAGAATCGTTCGAATGTGTGTGATTATGTGAAATCCCACATCGGTTAGAGAGAGTGTAGAAACCTCTCCTAACAAAAGCATTTTAAAATTGTAAGGTTGATGGCGGTACATAACGAGTTAAAACGGACAAATATCTGCTAACGGCAAGCTTGAGTCGTTATAAATTGTATTAGAGCCAGACATTAGGTGGTGTATCATTGAGGACGTTGGGCCCCTAAGAGGGTGGATTATGAGATCTCGTATTGATTGGAGAAGACAATGAAATTATATATTAATTACAAGGGTGTGGACAATGGGCTGCCAAATACCGTCATTGCTTCTTCTCCGGGAAAAGAAGTTCACAACTCGTAGACCTTCTACCTCCACGCCGCATTGCTCCATCAAGATTTCGCTCATTGAGGAAAATTCCCCACTACTGCCTCCCGTAGGAGTCTAGACTGTGTCTCAGTCCCAGTGTGGCTAATCATCTTCTCAAACCAGCTACTGGTCATCGCCTTGGTAAGCTATTGTCTCACCAACTAGCTAACGAGAGAATATTGAGCCTCTAATGGGGTAGATTGTGAGATCTCACACTGGTCGAAGAGGGCAACAAAATTATACATTCCTTACAAAGGTGTGGACACGGAACGAAGTACATTGGGCCCATATGGGGTTGGATTGTGAGATCCCACACATTCATTATTATAAAGGGTGTGAAAACCTCTCCCTAACCAACACCCTTTAAAACTATGAGGTCAACAGCGATACGTAACCCAATGAATCTAAAACACGAGCAAGCAAAAACACAAACGGGCAATGATGGCAAAATGACCTCACATTCTGGTGAGCACTTAAGGAAAGTATGTTCATTTAAAAAGGGGAAATCAAGCCAAGTGAATGACTATTTATGGCCCTCAATGCATAAAGAGCCTGCCAAGTTCTTAAATTCCGGCCAGGACAAAGTTGGCCAACAACCACCACATTAACTTCTCCCTTCAAAACACTATAAAGAATGCCTTACAACACCCCTTCTCCTTCATACAATCCAATGGGAAGCCCTTCTCAAACCCTTATGCTTTTGGCTTTCATCTCTCTCTTTTCATCCCTTTCTAATTCTTTACCTCTCTCGACCCGAGGGCGATGGATCGTCGATTCGACCACTGGGCGTCGAGTCAAACTCGTGTGCGTTAATTGGCCTTCCCACACACAGAGCATGCTAATCGAAGGCCTGGCTAACAGGCCGTTGAAAGACTTGGCTGATGAGTTAGTGAGTTTGAAGTTCAATTGTGTGAGACTCACGTATGCGACTCATATGTTTACTCGCTATGCTAATAGGACCGTTGAAGAGAATTTTGACCTTCTTGATTTGAGAGCTTCGAAAGTTGGGTTGGCTTCGCATAATCCGTTTGTATTGAATATGACCATTTTTGAAGCTTATGAAACTGTTGTCGATGTGCTTGGGACAAGTGGGTTGATGGTGATAGCTGATAATCATATTAGTCAGCCGAGATGGTGTTGCTCTCTTAACGACGGAAATGGGTTCTTTGGAGATCGCTATTTCGACCCTCAAGAATGGTTGGAAGGTCTTCGTTTGGTTGCTCGACGATTTACTAACAAATCGAATGTACGTAACTTTTGAACTTTTGAAATTATTTATCAAGTATAAAACAAATAAAAACACGTTATTTAACAACAGGTAGTAGCCATGAGTCTACGAAACGAACTCCGAGGAGCAAAATCGAGCTCGAAAGATTGGAACAAGTACATGACACAAGGAGCAACAACCATCCACGACATAAACCCAAACCTCCTCGTGATCGTTTCAGGTCTAAACTTCGACAACGACCTAAGATGTCAAAGACACAACCCGTTGCCACTAAACAACCTACACAACAAGCTCGTTTTTGAAGTGCACTTATATTCGTTTAGCGGAGCTACCAAAACAAAGTTCATCACGAACCCACTAAACAAAATATGCTCAACAATCATCAATGGGTTTGTGGAGAGAGCTGAGTTTGTAATGCAAGGAGCTGAGGCAGTTCCTTTGTTTGTTAGTGAGTTTGGGTTTGATCAAAGGGGTACCAATGTTGCTGATGATAGGTTCTTGAGCTGCTTCGTCGCTCATCTTGCTAAGACGGATTTGGATTGGGCACTATGGGCTTGGCAAGGTAGCTATTATTATCGACAGGGTCAGGCTCAATTCGACGAAGTGTTCGGAATTTTGAATTATAATTGGAGTGGCGTTAGAAACCCTCGTTTTTCTAAGACGTTTCAGCTCTTGCAAACCATGCTGCGAGGTATGGATTTGTTGAATTAACTTGCTTTTGAATCTTGTTCTCATTTATAGGTTAACTTTTTTTCTTTTTTTTGGTAACTTAAGATCCGAATTCGAATGCACCAAATTCTTATGTTATGTATCATCCACAAAGTGGTCAATGTGTTCGAGTAAAGGACATGATGAGCAAGGAAATCTATCTAAACGACTGTTCCAATGCAAGCCATTGGAGTCATCGAGGAGACGGGACACCGATCGAGCTAGAGGCGACCGGTTTGTGTTTAAAAGCCGATGGAGATGGGCTTCGACCCTTACTCTCGAGGGATTGTTTGAGCAACGAAAGTTCTTGGACAACCATTTCTAACTCTAAGCTTCATTTGGCTACGCTCACGAGACATGGGAATGGTTTGTGTTTAGAGAAAGACAGCTCGAATTCAACGAGGATTGTGATGGGTAGATGTGTTTGTGTTGGTGATGATTCAAATTGCTTAGATGATACTCGGTCTCAATGGTTTGAACTTGTTGTGACCAATACTTTGTAATTTGGTCACACGTGGAGTAACTAAAGATTAGTGGCGTTTTGTCTTATTGGAGTGACCTACATATTTTGGGTCGCTCCACTTCATATCCAGTCGTAATGTCTTTCAAAAGATATCGTGTTGGGATGCATTCAGCTTTGAAAATAAATATTTTTTCGAGACACCGAACTCAAGCTTTCTTCAAGTTGTAATAATTTTTGTTTATAATAGCCTAAGCCTATTACTGGCAGATATTGTCTGCTTTAGCCATCGCTGTCAGCCTCACAATTTTAAAACGAGTTTGATATGAAGAGGTTTCCACACAAAGAACGTTTCGTTACTCTCTCCAACCGATGTGAGATCTCACAATCCATCCTTCTTGGGGGTCCTAGTGTCCTCATTGTCACACTACCTAGTGTCTAACTCTAATATCATTTATAGTACTGACGACAATAAGTTGAAATGAATAAGCTGATATTTAAAAGTTTCAATTTAATCAAATCAGCTTGTGATAGCGAGTTATGAAAAATTCGTAAAGGATTGATTTTTACACTAAAACATGGTACACTTGGTCCAACGACACTCACTCGAGTTGTTATCTCGATATTCTAACGCCCAAGTTGTATACCCCTAAAGCAGTCTATAGGCGTGTGGACAGCATTGCTCCGGCGCCTAGATTACAAACAAACCCCCAAAAGGTTCAAAATGAGTAGCAGCGCAATTAGTGGACAGCATCACAAAGAGGCGTGTGGCTCTGCGTGTGTCCAAGTCCACCACACTCCCTTAGGCCTTACCCACAAACCATTTCAATTACCACGCCACCCACCAATCTCCCCATCTCCACAAAAATGTCATCGGCCATAGTCGCAGGCTCCTCCGCCGCCTTCGCCAGAACCTCCATCGGAGCCCCACCCTTTCCAGCTCCAAACCCATCTCTGTCTCTTCAGGTATATCATAACCTCAAATCCCAATTCATCGCTCTGCCTTTTGATTGACTGTTTTTGTTGGTGTTCTTCAGAAAAGTGCTTTCCAAGGGGTGTCCGTACAGGAGGCCAAGAAGGGGGTCTCGCATTGGTTCGTGGCTGAGAATGGAGCGCCCAGAGGGAAGACATGGAAGGGGCTTGAAATTAAGGCGGCTAAAACGGCTGGTGCTTCCAAGACGATTGAGGTTGAAGTTGATAAGCCATTGGGGCTCACTTTAGGCCAGAAACCTGGCGGTGGGGTTGTCATCACTGTGAGTTCTTTCTCTGATCCTGTATTGCTATTTCATTGCCATTTTTGAGTGAAATATTGAGAACAAGTTTAAGATGAGTATTAATTATGTATCTCTAGGCGTGTAGAATGGCTTTTGATCTTCATTTTTAAGTTTTTTAATATATTCAAAGCAAAACACATACATAATCTTGATAGTTTACGACGAACCTATTGTTGAGGTTGTTGAGAGAGAGTCCCACATTGGCTAATTTAGAGAATGATCATGTGTTTATAAATAAGGAATACATCTCTGTTGGTATGAGGCCTTTTGAGAAAGTCCAAAGCAAAACCATGAGAGCTTATACTCGAAGTGGACAATATCATACCATTGTGGTGGAGAGTCGTGATTCCCAACATGGTATTAGAGTCAAGCCACAATGTCAATAGAATTCTCTAGTGTCAAACAAAGGAGAGACTGTTTGAGGGCTCCACAGGCCTCAGGGGAGGCTCTATAGTTTGTTCGAAAAGAGAATTGTTGGGAGGGAGTCTCACATTGGCGAGCTTATACTTTAAAATTCGGGACTAAACTTGCAATTTAACCTTGTAAAATGTTGGTTGGAAGTGTTTGAGACACTCTCGTAACATAATCTTTGTGGGTATGTTTTGTAATTGAGTTAATTTTTGGGTATTAATGTTGGGTTAGGGAGTGGATGGGGGAGGAAATGCAGCAAAATCAGGGCTAAAGGCAGGAGACCAAGTTCTATACACTAGCAGCTTCTTTGGTGATGAATTATGGCCTGCAGACAAGCTGGGTTTTACCAAAACTGCCATTCAAGCCAAGCCTGATTCTGTCTACTTTGTCGTTAGCAGGTTCTTTAATTTCCTTTCTGAAAGTTTAAGGATAAGAATGTGATTTGAACTCAACTTGTAAAGTTTTATGATATAGAGGTGCTGAGGTCGATGTTAAACGTCTCCCGAAGCGACCTGCACCGCCTCGCTTTGGAAGAAAACTAACCGAAGCACAAAAGGTAAGCGTTACTTAGCCATCACAATGTTACATTATGTTAGGTATATATCAAGAACATTCCCTTGATGGCATTGCATTGCTATGTTGTGCAGGCTAAAGCGACTCATATATGTCTCGATTGTGGATACATTTACACTTTATCGAAACCTTTCGATGAGCAGGTATGTTCGTCTCTCGTACTTCTCCAACTCTATAGTATGACCTTCGCGATGACGAATATGTCTCGCGAGTTAGATTAGGTCGAGTTGGTCAAGCATTGATTTCAGATTGAGTTATGTTTGTTTTAACCTGTCGTTAAGTTAGCGACGTCGGTCTGAGTATAAGCATGGTTAGATATGTGGAGCTCTAAATGGGTAGTGTGTTGGATATGGTGCAGGCTGATGGGTATGTATGCCCTCAATGTAGAGCGCCAAAGAAGAGGTTTGCTAGATATGATGTGAACACAGGGAAGGCAGTAGGCGGAGGTTTGCCGCCAATTGGTGTCATTGCTGGCTTGGTTGCTGGTCTTGGTGCTGTTGGAGCATTGCTTGTTTATGGCCTTCAGTGATATCATTATAAACTTGTACCTCAAATTATATTAATCTTTTTGTTCACAAATTTTCAAACTATATATATATATATATATGTTAATAATATAAATTATATTTGATTTTAGAGGATAAGAAATTTAAATTTAAATAAAAATGGAAAAGAAATTATGACTGTATGTCGTAGAGAGCTTGTATCTTAAAAATTATTTGACATTTGTATTCAGTATCTGTGATTCATCTCATTGGATGAAGAAGCCACGACAATATATTTCCCTATTAACAATGTTTTTTTTTTGTGAGATCTCATGTCGGTTGGAAAAGGGAACAAAACATTTTTTATAAGAGTGTGGAAACCTTTGTCTAGTAGATACGTTCTAAAATTGTGAAGCTGACGGTGATACGTAACGAGCTAAAGCGGACCATATCTACTAGTAGTGAGTTTGGACTATTACAAATGGTATTAGAGTTAGACACCAGATGATATGCTAGCCCCAAGGGGATCCCACATCGATTTTCTTACAAGGGTGTAAAAACCTCTCTCTAGTAGACATGTTTTAAAACTGTGAAGTTGACGGAGATATATAACGAGTTACAACGGACAATATCTACTAGTGTCATAACTGGTTGAATTATGTTCGTGTAAACTTTAGTGAATTCATATAACTCGAATACATACCCCTATCAACTCATAGAGCATATTATAAATTTGGTAAAAACAAAACAAACTCATAATCAAAATGGTTTTTTTTTTTTTGGGTTAAAATATCATATTTTATCGATCAAAACACTCTACATTATTAATAAAAATATGTCTTTTATATATAAAAATACTCGTTCTTTCAAAAGTTTAAAAATAAAAATGAACTCTAGACTGGAACATTACCTGTACCTATTATATACATTTCAAAACTATCATTAGAGTAGGAATTGACTGTAATAACGAATAGTTTTGAAACAATTACGAGAGAATATGGGACGAAAAGGCAAAGGGAATAATACACAACAGGAAAACAAATAAAAGAAAAAGCAGAAAAAAAGCACCCACCAGTGTTCATAGCTCACTCTTCATTCTTTTAACACAAGCGTCACCACCGCACCTACTTTTAAGTTTTGGTGCTATTGCTTTAAGCAAACCGCCAAAGATTAGACAATACAACCCAAAAGCAAGTACCAAAATAAGGGGTTTGAGGGTTCAATCTGAGCGCTTCTGTAAACCATTTTTCTCCTCATCATACAGACGTAGGGATGGAGAGAAGGGTTTTAATGGTGTGTTCTGTTGTGGGCTTATTGGGGATTTTGTCGGCTGTCACTGGTTTTGTTGCTGAAGCTACTAGAATCAAGGTGATTTCTCATCATTTTTGCTTCAACTCCTCTTTAGTTTGATCTTGTTTGGCCTACTTTTCATTGGGTTTTTGCTTGCATTTGGGTTTATGTTTGTGGGTTTTTCTTGTGTTTTGCTACCAATGTATCTTAGTGGACTGGTTGCAGGTCTTTTGATGTTTTTGATTGTTCTCATCTTCAAGATTTAAGGGTTCTTTTTGGTTTTTCATTTTCTGATTTGGGTTGGTGCTTCAGATCATTGAGACGTTAAATTGTTGAGCTGTTCTTCATGGGAAGCTTCCTAAGCAATAAATCTTTCTTGTGCTCTGTTTTTTTCTTAATGTTCTTAGTTGAGGCACTGTTGGGTTAGATTGTTTATATTGTTCAGCTTATATTGGGTGGTTTCCAGCCCCTTTTGTAAATCCAAGCCGATTTTGTGGCTTCATGTAGTCAAATTGATCCTTTTGGAACCTTGGTTTGAAAGAAATCTAAGGATTTTTCATGATAAGAATCAAGAGATGGATTGTTTCGATTCAGTTCGTTTAAAAGGTTCTTCGTGGTGTTCTCGTTTCGCTCTCTAACCAATGTGGGATCTCATAATCCACTCCCTTCGGGGGCTAACGTCCTCGCTGGCACACCGCTCGGTGTTTGGCTCTTATATCATTTGTAATAACCTGAACCCTTCGCTGGTAGATATTGTCCTCTTTGGACTTCCCCTCAAGGTTCTAAAACGTGTCTACTAGGGAGAGATTTCCACACCTTTATGAGGAATGTTTCGTTCCCCTCTCCAACCAATGTGGGATCTCACAATCCACTTCCTTGTGTGCTAGCCCGGCCGTGTCTAGCTTTGATACCATTTAAAACGTCCCAAACCTTTCGCTTGTAGATATTATTCTCTTTGGGCTTTCCCTTCTGGCTTCCCCTCAAGGTTCTAAAATGTGTCTGCTAGAGAGATGTTTCCACACCCTTATGAGGAATGTTTCATTCCCCTTTCCAACCAACGTGGGATCTCACAATCCACCCCTCTTAGGGGCTAGCGTCTTCGCTGGCACACCACTCAGTGTCTGGCTCTGATACCATTTGTAACGGCCCAAGCCCACCGCTTGCAAATATTGTCTTCTTTGGACTTTCCCTTCTGGGCTTCTCCTCAAGGTTTTGAAACGCGTCTGCTAGGGAGAGGTTTCCACACCCTTATAACGAATGTTTCGTTCTTCTCTCTAACCGATGTGGGATCTCACAATCATTGTTAGTAGTGGGCTTGGGCTATCACAGGTGGACACACGAGAATGTAATGAGAAATGGGTTGTGGTAGAGAAATATATAGTGAGAGCGGAAGAGTTCGAGCGGTATGCTTTTGCAGCATACTTAATTTGTTGTGTGATTTGTACTTGGGAGAAAGGGACAGCTCTCTAAATCTTCCAGACTCACCTTTACTGATAAATGAGTCCTAATTTCTATCAATATTAGTATCAGAGCAAGTTTATGATCGGGAATGACTACTCGTATGGACTCATGGATGGAAACGATCGAGGGGAGAATGACAGAGTTTCAGAGCTCTGTGGAGAAGGAATTTCGGCTGATTCGAGAGACAATGATGACATAGAGATCGAACGGACTGTCGAAAAGGCGTGGCTGATGTCAGATTGAATAGATCAGGAACCTGTTATTATTATGATCTTTGTTGTTTCATGTTCTAAAAAACTATTCTACGATTTAGATGGTGCATTTACCTGTTGTTCTTCTGGTATTAGTTCTTGGTTCCTGAATCTATCGAGCGGAGTAACGTCGATTCAAATTTATCTGACAGGGCTCGCAGGTTCAGTTCGTTTCGACATCTGAGTGTGCATATCCCCGAAGTCCTGCTATGGGTCTCGGTTTAACGGCTGCGATTTCTCTGTTGATTGCTCAGCTAATTATAAATGTTTCTAGTGGTTGCATTTGTTGCAAAAGAAGTCCTAATCCTTCCAATCCTAATTGGAAAATAGCACTCATGAGCTTTGTTATTTCGTGGTAAGTTTTTTTTTTAGGACCGGTTAGTTCAAGCTCACCATTAGTAGATATTGTCCTTTATACGCTTTTACTTTCGGGTTTCCCCTCAAGTTTTTAAGACTTGAACGCGTCTGCTAGAGAGAGGTTTCCACACCCTTATAAGGAATGCTTCGTTCCCCTCTCCAACCGATGTGGGATCTCACAATCCACTTAATACTACTCTCGCCCAAGCAAGCTTAACTGTGGAGTTCTGATGTGATCCCATGCATTAGTGCTGGTATGATCGTGCACTCCTTTAGAAAAATTGTGAGTTCTCACATCGGTTGAAGAGGGGAACGGAACATTTCTTGTAAGGGTGTGGAAACCTCTCCCTAACAGACGCGTTTTAAAAACTTGAGGGGAAGTCCAGAAGGGAAAGCCCAAAGATGACAATATCTGTTAGCAGTGGGCTTGGGCTGATTTGTCGAGTTGAGAATTGAGCCAATACTGGGCTTGCTTTTGAGATGTCTGGAAATGATGGTACCGTGTTTTATGTCTCAGGTTCAGTTTCGTCATAGCGTTCTTGTTGTTGCTGACTGGTGCAGCCCTGAATGACCAGCATGGTGGAGGGACTATGTACTTCGGTAACTACTACTATTACTGCTACGTCGTGAAACCCGGAGTCTTTGCGGGAGGTGCCGTTCTGTCGTTTGCTAGTGTTCTATTGGCAATAGTCTATTATCTAACTCTAAATCTAGCAAAGAACAACAGCCCTCTATGGGGGAATCCTGTTCCAGCTCAGGGCATTGCTTTGGGGCAGCCTCAGTTCCCGCCACAAAATACACAACAACCCGTGTTTGTTCATGAAGACGTGTATGCACGACGACAGTATGCGTGATTCATAGCCCGGTCAGGTAACCGAGCAGCAAACTTTTGTTAGTTGGTGAACCTATGAAGAAATGAAACCCTTGGTGTATCAATAGGCTTAGAGAATGGACAAGAAGGATAAGGAAATTTGTTGTTGCTCAGCATTTGGCTGTGTTGTTTTTGCTTTGTTTCTGTATCCAATTAGGTCATTAGGTGAGAGAGGCTGGCTGTATAGTAAGATTTATCAAACAAAAGTAAAGCTTAGCTTTCATGGATTTTGGGTTACATTTTATGTCGATCTTTGAATCAACCTTTGGTTCCCAGCAGCGTCATAATCTTGACATGCTCACGATCAACCTTTAGGGGAAACTCAAGCCTCATATTCATTTTTCGTCCAGCTTTGTGGGTTCGTTGGACCCTTAGATGAGATTTGTTTTCGCCATCCAAACATCGCTCGTGCAGAATCCAAGTTCGTTTGGCCACACATGCCCTACGCGTGCATGTTCATCATCTGCAACACAACCGACATGCCTCCTCAATTCTAGACCTTGCCTCTCTACTCGGGACCAAGATTATCTTGGTTCCTAATCAACACCAAACAAAACATTGATATGTTCAAAATCATTCCAACAAAATCTATAAAAGTAGGTTTGTAGAGGTAGTCTAAATTTGTTCGTTCTCATTAATTTTTAATTTTTTTGTCCCAGAATACGTGGACTTAACTTACTTCAATCTCATACCTCTTGACTATTACATCAATCTCATACCTCTCGATTCTGAGAGACATTTATCTTATTTTGTAGTCTCCCCACATTACACACCACACTAGATTTAAATAGTAATCACATAATTTTGTAAGTACTTCATTGGAAAAGGACAAAAACAAGAACATTTTCTTTAATTCAAAAATGACATGTACATCTCTCTAATGAACATCACGTATATCTGTGTACAACGAGGTGTGTTGTAACAATTATTCTGTATCAACCTAATTTTGAGTCTTCCTACTTGTATATTATACCACAAAATTGCTGTAGATATCATGTGTTGCTGTAGATATCATGTGTATATTACAGGAAAGTGAAAGTATCACACCACACGTAGCTTATCGAATGCGATTGATATGAGCAAAGGGCTCTGCATTGTACGATTTTGCAGCAGGTTTAGCCACTTCTGGAGCCCCAAAAACATTCCAGAATCTCAATGTTTCATCAGCTGCTGCTGAAGCCACAGTGCACCCATCTGGACTCTGTAGTAGAATCATCACACCACAAAGAACAATCAGAAAAAACCCATCAACAAACAAAACAAACAAACCAAGCCATCATCATCATATTCATCAGAAAATACATGTACATGTACCGTACCTGAGCCATAAAGAGAACTCTTGATGTATGGCCGGTGAGCTCTCCCATCTTCACCATTGAAGGGTACTTCCAAAGAGTGAGCTGATTCTGGGAGAACCCATGAGAGCTAAGCAGCTCTCTCTCATTTTTATTCCACAGCAGAGCACAGACTTGAGAACCAGTATCAACAGAATTCAAACATGCGCCAGTGTGCGTGTTCCAAAACTTTATGGTGCGGTCACTAGCACCTCCACCGGTTGCGAGCAAGTTGCTTTGGAATGGACACCATGCAAGAGCCTTGACTGCAGATGTATGATCCTCAAGCCTGTGAAGCCACTGGGTCGCTGAATTTGAAGAGGCCATTGATCGGTCCCAAATGTGGAGGACATTGTCATTTCCTCCACTTGCTAATTGTTGCCCTGATGATGACCATTTGAGTCCACAAACCTCTTGATCATGACCTCTGTAAGTTCCGACTATATGATCTCTTATTCTCACATCATTGTTTATGATCTTTCCATCCATTCCTCCTGTGGTGAGAATATGGTTGTTCCATGCCAGTGAACCCACTCGCATCCTATGCCCACCTCTTAGAGTTCTTAGCTGCATTAATTCATCACCCAGAAGAAATTCTAGTCATGTAAGGGCAAAAAAATAACAAGACATATTAAGATAAATAATCCCAATAAGCTTTTAGATTAATTTATGGCCCTCAAGGAGCCGTATGAGGTGAAAATCTCATGTATGGTTCTGTAATAGCGATGAGAACAGTGATGTTATTATCGACTATGATTATCTAACCATTCGAGTACAGTTGATATGGTTGAGGCTCAAGCGAAATATGGTTTTTGAGGTGGAATTTGTGGCATCAACCTATGTTATTTTTCTAATTTCTTCCTTAGCAGAATGCGAGAGATTACCTGTCGGTTAGCGGTTGAATCCCAGAGCTGCACTTCAGAGTTTTGAAACCCAATACCGATGTGTCGTCCATCAGGTGCCCAGTTGACACTAGTGATAGGACCAACTTCATCATCAACAGTGACAAGCTCTGAAGTAGAGCCATCGTTTGCATTCCACAAATACACAGTGTTGCCAAGAGCAATAGCAAGCACATTGGCGCTGCCCCAATCCAACAAGTTCAAGTAGTAATCATCAACAAGATCAGGAGCATCCAATGTCCTTTCAGAGGTCTACAACAGAAAAATAAACCCAATTGATGACTTTTCTTCTTCAAACAAATTCACCCATTCATTGAGGCATATTATCAAACACTTGAACTGCAACTCACCTGGGGGATATGGCGGCGGGCCTTGACAGGTTTATCGTTAGAACCCGAGGAGAAGAACTCCTTGGGGATCAACTCAACCGGCGCAGGAGGTTTGTTTCTGAACGCAAGGATCCGAGTTCGATTCATGTTCAACGTCTCAGCCAAACGCTTCTGATAAGCCTCCCTCGAGGGCGAACAAATTGAAGGATTTTCCTTACCTTTCCTCCCATCAGTCACCATGTAATGCGCGTAATCGAAATCCATCGCCGAACGATTCGGAATAAATCTATCCAACTGTAATTGAAAAGAGACAGAAATCAAAACCTAATTCATCGACTCGGAACAATTATACATAAACAAATCCTTCATCTTCCTCTAATTGATTTCAATCACTACAATTACGAACAAACACTTACATTTTCTCGGGAATGCTTTTTCTGAAGTTGCTGTTCTTGCAGGGGACAGCGCGATCGACCAGCATTAGAAGAACTCAAAGATCCTGCATCCATAGCGTAAATTTCCAAAAAAGAATAACACAAGAACACAATATCCAACAGAAAAAACAGAGAAAGATAAACAATTTGAAACCCTGCAAAGAAATTCGTAAGATCCACAAAAACAGAATATCGAAAGCAGAAATCAAGAAGCAAATATCAGAAAAAAAAGAAACAATTAAGTTTCGATTGATTGTTTAGAGCGTTTGAAGAGCGCAGTGAGAGTAAGCGATGAATAGAGAGCGTTTGAAGATTGAATTGTAATTCAAAGTCATTCGTGAGATCATATATACTTGCGCTTGGGAATAAAATAAGGAAAAAAAAATAGCTTAGTTCGTAATATGGAAACTGTGTAACGGCTATATTTGAAAAAGACGTTGAAATTCACTCTGACGACTATACCCTTCTGTGTATTAAAAAAAAAAAGAAGATAATTTGTAATACCAGGTGGCTTTATTATTATTATTATTTTAGTGAGCCTGGTATTACGGAAGAGCCGTTGTAGTCTAATGGCGTATTATAAATTTTAATGAAGTTTCTATGGGGAATTATTTAATATAATAATTGATTTTTTTTTAGAGTTGGGTCTTAGCCTACTCAGATCGAACATTATGGATGTACATTGTTAGAGTTGGGTCAAGTTAGGACTATTTTTTTTTTTTTTATCGAGTTGGTTGGTTCCTTTGTCCAAGCAACTCAATTAGAGAGAACAACTCAACCAATCCTCATATTACGAGGTTTTGTCGGGTCTAACAGATTAGCTATACAATAAATGGTGGCACTATTATCGACAAAGAGAACACAAGAGAGCATAATAAACGGTTGACAACAGTTGAAAACAGCAAATGAAGAATGGTTGGACGTACGATGATGGTTGAACAATGAAAGATGAGTGAGTAGTAGTAGAGTGTAATGAAAGAGGGTGATACAAATGGCAGGACAAACAAAGAATGATTGGATTATGATGACGACACAATAGTGACAACAAGTATAAGAAAGAGATGAGAAACGACAATGAACAACGCTAAATGGGCAAAAGACATATAGCTAGATGGTGATGTGACGAAGATAAGAAAGAACGTATTGAACGTTGGCACAAATATGTTGAACGATAAGAAAGAACGATATTGAATGTGACGAAGAAGTATTAAGGTATTTCTTTCTAGACAATTAAGAAAAGTCTATTAAACTGTAATTTGATTATAATTAGAATTAATTTATAAATATTAAATTTATCTACTATTTATTTTATCAAAAGATTAATTTTAAATAATATATAAAAATTTTATGTCACTATCCATTTACTTAGATATTTATAAATAAATAAAAAAAAAAGAAGTAATTTGAACAACAACGACGAAAACTTTAAAAGATTATCATAGTCAAATTCAGACATAAAAATGAAAATTTTGAATGTTGGCCATAATTCAAAATTAGCTAAAAAATTAGTGAAATATAATATCCATGTAATCTAAATTACAAAATTATTCATAATCTTTAAAATTAGGACAAAATACAGTTTTCATCCAACCAAAAAAAAAGTATTATTAATGATCAAATATTAAAAAAAAAAAGTTTAATTACTAATTTCTGCATCAAAATTAAGAACAAAACTACACAGCTTCTTTCATCTCAACATATGCTAGAAAAAATAGAACACAATTATTTTAGATAGAAATGTATTATATTTCTCTCTCTAAAGGAAGCAAAAATTAGCTAGTTTTTTTGGTGTGTTGAGAATCAAAAACTACATAGCATTATTGTAACAACAAAAATCAGACAAACTAAATGTTTACCTCATTTTCCCTCTCTCGAAAGGATTATGGAAGAAAATAAAACCCCCCCCCCCACCACCACAAAACTATGAGGCAAACCACAGTTTGAACCCATGCAGCACCACAAAATAAAGAAGACTTCTATAATCTCTTCTCCACTTCATTCATGGCTACCATTCTGTTTTCTTCCAGTGGCTGTAAAGCAGTTCTCAGCTTCCCCCCACCAACAACAACCTGTTTATAATCATCACATATAGTGTATTAGTATTATATATTAGGAGAGAATTCAAACCCAGATCTCATAAATGAAGAACAGTGCTTACTTTTGTGTTGTTGTTGTCGTTGTTGTCCATTTTCTTCTTGCTAAGTTGGAGTTGTTGCTTGAACATCTTTCGCAGCTGTCTTAAGCTTACATCATTTTTCTCCACATTTTGCCTCTGAATCAAGATTTCTTTGTCCTGTTCTTTATGATCTTCTTCTTCTTCTTCTTCTTCAGTATCTGAGTTGTCGATTAGCAGCTGAATGGATTGGTCTTTAACTGGTGATTTGGTTTCTACTGTCGGCCTAGGAAATTGGTTTGCCAGTGCCATTTGGTCAGCTTCGAAAGAGGGTGGTAATGATTGAACTCCATTGATCTTGATGTTTGAGGAACTGGGAATTATTTCTTCCTCACATCGGATGTCGTTTCGGATTTCGGGCTGTGAATCCACGGCGTCAACGTTTATGATATCTTCAGGATCCAATACTTCGGGTTCTTCCAACTCTGAATCGTCATCTTTCACTTCCACAACAGATTCTTCAACATTGCTCAAGACATCGACCAGATCTTCTTCAGAAACAGTCTCCGGGAAGTCCATGGAGTTCACTGCATCATCTTTTTCAGCTTGAACTGAAACCGTCTCCATTACTTCGGGTTCTTCCAACTCCAAATCGTCATCTTTCACTTCAATAACAGATTCTTTAACATTGGTTAAGTCATCATCATCGACTTGGGTTTGTTCTTCCTCATGGGGCAGAGATAAATCAGTAGAATATTTTATGAGTTCTTCGTCAACTAAGATTTCCTCTTCCACATTTTCATGGGGAAGAGACAATTCTGCTGAAATGTCCGTGAGTTCGGCTTCCTCTTCAGCATCTACTTCACTTCCGCATTCTGATTCACAAATAGACTCATTTTGTTCCACTTCCTTACTGGATTGTTCTACAATACTCGAGTTGTAAACTTCTGTCTGGTCGACAACTTCAGTGGGGAGAGAGAAATTGTCAGAGTCATTGATTTCCTCAGCAAAAACCTCCCCAGCATCATCGTCTTTAGAATCTTCATTTGCTTCCTCAACTTCAAGGAGGCATTTCACATTCAGATTATTGTCGGGTGCTGTGATATAAACAACATACATAGATCGGTCAAGTATTGCTCAATGAACAGATGGAGAAAAGCTATTAACAGATTGAGAAAAATTATTGATGGTTGTTTATCTTACCTTCTGTTTCAGAACAATCATTCTGTGCAGTAATAAGATTTTCTGCTTCACAATTCAACGAATCAAGATCAACTTCTGGTTCAACCTCTGAAACTTTTACTACAGACTCCAGCTTATTCTTCACTTGGTTATCGATTTCCAACTCCAAATCATCATCCAATTTGATTTCATCGGTTTTCTTCGACTCCTCCAAATCATCACTATCCAATTTGATTTCATCGGTTCTCTTCGACTCCTCCAAATCATCACTATCCAATTTGATTTCATCGGTTCTCTTCGACTCCTCCAAATCATCATCATCCAATTTGATTTCATCGGTTCTCTTCGACTCCTCCAAATCATCATCCAATTTGCTTTCATCGGTTTTATTTGACTCAATTTCATCTATGCTCGTATCCTCCTTCACAGACTCAACTTCTATGCTCGGAGCTTCTATGCTCGTATCCTCCTTCACAGTCGGAGCTTCTATGCTCGTATCCTCCTTCACAGACTCAACTTCTATGCTCGTATCCTCCTTCACAGACTCAACTTCTATGCTCGTATCCTCCTTCACAGACTCAACTTCTATGCTCGTATTCTCCTTCACGGACTCAACTTCTATGCTCGTATCCTCCTTCACGGACTCAACTTCTATGCTCGTATCCTCCTTCACGTCAACTTCTATGCTCGTATCCTCCTTCACGGACTCAACTTCTATGCTCGTATCCTCCTTCACGGACTCAACTTCGATGTTCGTATCCTCCTTCACGGACTCAACTTCGATGTTCGTATCCTCCTTCACGGACTCAACTTCGATGCTCGTATCCTCCTTCACAGATCCTGCACCAATTGCTATCAATCATCAAAATTTTCAATTATACAAATGTATATGCGTTGAAGAACAAGGTATTTATAATATTCAAACCTATACTGTCAGGCATTTCATCGAACGACATATGGACACTGATTGGCTCCCTTTTCTCGTCACCTCCTAAACTCAAGCTCTCCATGCTCTTCTCCAACAATCTAGCAGACCTTCTTGTACTATACACTCGTCGCTCCGTAGCGACATTATTCCGAGTCTCAGTTCTTCTACGTGTCGAAGCAGCCGCTACTCTCTTACGGCTTTCAACTATAGAAGGCGTTTTTTCAATATCATTCTTTTCTTGATCTAAATCGTTGTCCTCTTTCTCAACGACATCGACCGTCATCTGAAAATCTACCTTTTTGCAAGCTGAAGAAGCCGCCGCCGTTCTTCTCCGGCCACTCGCTAAAGACGGAGTAGTTAGAACCACGTTTAGATCTCTGTTTTCCGAATCCTCTGTACATCTCGCTGCAGCTGCACGGCGTGTTCGAGTAGTAACTGACTCATCTTTCACGGTCCTTCTTCTGGTCGTGGTTCTCTGTGCAGTTCGAAGAATTTCCGAGTTAACAAACTCTTGTTTCATTGGTGATTCCGGTACTCCAGATCCTTCGCCGTTCAAAAACTCCTCGATTCCTTCAACCTAAAACCAAGGGAGAATAAAGAAATGTCCATATTAATATGCGAAATCCCAAGAAAAATTCCTAGTTCTTTCAAGAAATCAGATCGCAGTAGAATTAAACACTTCAGATTGTCAGATTCTTCGATAACCATATCCAAATCAAACGATTAAACTACGAAGCCAATAATAAACTCAGGAAGAAGATTCAAATTCGCTAGAGAACAACTGCTTCATAACCGCAGATCCTTCAATAAACAATCTAAATCGAAGGATTAACTACAGAAACAGTTAATAAGAAAAAAGATAACCAACCAATGGAATAACGGAAAGGGCGTCGGCCATGGCAACATTAGTGGTATTGGCCGGAATCTTATTCCTCTTGCAGAGTGCTTGTAGCTCTCTCCTTGACAAGCTGCGGAAGTCCATAGCGATCGGAATCGAAAATATGAAACAGACAGAAGAAATTTCTACCCAGCCACACGGAAATGAGGCGATTCACTATCATTGAGAAGCGGAGGCCCTTTAAATACGACGATCGACGAATTAACTAGCCGTTTAGGAAACCCTATTTTGTAAAGAAATGCGACCGTTAAGAGCGTAAATTTTGAATTTTGAAAGGGAGAAACCGTGCCCATGGTCCATCGACTTCAATTTACTTCTATTTCGGGATTCTTGGTTTTTTTTTTTTTTTTTCCGACTGATAATATTTCCAAATTAAATTCATGATTAAAAAACTTGAAATTAATTAATTAATTATATATATATATATACTATATCTGGATTTTAAATTATTAATTAAATAAACTTTAGAAGGCATATTGTAATCAATATTATTAAACAAAAGGAAATATCATAAAATTTTAAATAGTTTCTCAAATTTAAATATTATTTATTTCGTATTATTATTATTATTATTATTATTTAGAAAGCATGATCATAACCATGTATCAGTTTCATGCATAGATGGGTATCACTTTCATTCACGCTGACCTTACGTGCATCGCTTTCATGTATTTAAAACCTTTGGACAAGCACCATTGTCATACAGTCAATTTATTTTAAAAATTATTTAAAAATATCGTAATTCTATGAACATACATATATACATGATGTCTCACATACAAAACATCAATTTAGTAGCGTCACTTAATTTCGATAAATTTTTTACAATAAAATTAACTTTCTTTTGGCTTATAGAAACTTCAGTTTGATCTTACGAACCTAAATAAAATGAAATTTTACGTGGCTAAAGTCCAATGTATAGTAATTCTTATAAATTTGAAATGAATAGATGCCTCTATACTCACGTAAAATTCTCTAAAGGTTTTTAATCTGTGTTAGTCAATAAAATAAAAATCGACTAAAAATAATTTAAATGAGGATTAAGCGTTAATTTAAATGAAAATGAACCAATAATTAAAGGAGAAAAATAAATTAATCTCGACTAAATTATTTTATTATATCTTAGAAAAATTGACGAAATAGTAACTTAATAAATAAAAAATTAAGTATTTGTTAATTTAAAATATTGAGATAATATATTTTTTTAATAATTTTATTTCGAAATTATCCATCCACATCAACATATTACTCATCATTGGAGGCTACCGAAGCAGTTTCTTGTTCTTCATTCTTTTCTTTTTCTTTCCCTTTTCCAAATTTTCATCGATCTCGACTTTCCGGCAAATGGACTCGCATGATCCGAAGTCGAACGGTATTCCATTCGATTCTATTCTTCAATTTCATTTCTTCATTCAAGTCTGATTTCGTTTTATCTGATTTCAAGCTATGGCGATCGTACTCATGGGCGTCTGCGGTTCCGGAAAATCGTAAGTTCTTCTCTTCGATTCTTTGATTCTTCGTCTTCTTTTAGCGTATCGACTCGTAGTGATTCATCGATCGGTTGATTCAAGAGCTTTAGATGATGTGAAATTTAGGGTAGCAGTTGAGAAAATGGTTAATCTGAGATGAATTTGTGTTACTGAAGTCGATATTTGAAGATCTCGAATCTGCATTTTTGTGTGATTTTTGTTGAATGGAATTTGTTTTCCTTCTTTCGATGATTCGAAGAGTTTGTGTGTGGTGGTGCAGTACAATTGGTGCGATGCTGGCCGAGGCCATGGGCTTGACTTTTCTTGATGCTGATGATTTTCATCCAAGTTCTAACAAGGGTATGCCACAACCTTATTCTCTGTTCTTGATCTTCAAAAAGTCTCTTATAATTTCCCCATTTTTTATTTTATTTTATTAGATATAAATTTGATTTTCGTATTTAATGGAAACTTAAAATTAATAAGTATATAACTCCTCTATTAAATGAAAATTAGAAGATTAAACTAACACAAAATTTAAATTTCAAATACTAAATTTGTAATTTTAATTCTAATTTTATTCCTTGAATCTGGCTCTAGTTTCTTTTTCAAATCTTGTGTTCTAACATATATAACATTCATGTACGATGAATGCATATTTTCGACCCGAATGTTAGAAGTTTTTTCATCATTCACTATTGTAAGTTTATCATTAACCAATCTTAACAAATGATTAAATTGAAAAATGTTAATACATAAAGTACTATGATTGAAACTTTTTAAATAATATGGACTAAATCGAATAAAGAAATATGCACACATCAAGAACTAAAAAGAACATATCTAGCGTAAAAATTATTTTGTTTGGACGTGTATTTTACCTGAAGTATTACTTTCAAAAATCATTTCAAACTTGCAGAAAAAATGTCGAAAGGAATCCCTCTTTCAGACGAAGATCGGATACCGTGGCTTGAGAAGATTCGGGACACGTTGAGAGAGAAGATGGGTAGTAAAAATAGTGTAGTTCTTGGTTGTTCAGCTCTGCAAAAACAGTACAGAGACATTCTGAGATCAGCTGATCCAAATTATGAAGGAATTGGAATCAGGTGTGTGGTGAAGTTCGTTCTGTTGGATGCTCCAGCTGAGGTGATTGCTTTGAGGTTAGAGAAAAGAGCCAAAGAAGGTAACCATTTCATGCCTTCAACTCTTTTGAACTCCCAACTTGATTTGCTGCAGATTGATGTTTCTGAAGGCATTTTACAAGTTGATGCTACTCGTAGTCCTCAGGCAATTGTGAGTCGTATTATCAAGTTGGTTCGTGGATTTTTGTTTTTAAATATTCACAATAGATCTTAGTTGATTTTCGAATCGTTCTAATTACACAGATCATCACTTTGAGATGAGAAAAAACGTCTATAAAAAATTTTAGATTGACATTGTCGATGTGTAGAATGATTCAATGTTCCTCCAACTCGTGGAAGTTATAGATAATTGACTTCATCTTACAGTTGGAAAGGGATTGATTTCTTATTGCATTTGAAGCGTCTAAATAAAAAACTATAGTTTAAGAGATTAAATTGTTACTTAGAGTTTAACGAAAACTAATTTCATTTTCCTACCATATCGGTTTCTACATACAAGACTCTCAATAGACATCAATAAAAATACTTTAGAATCCATTTCATTAGAGCAATGTCTTGCTTGATAGCGATCTTTCTTTTTTTTTAGTTATATCTGATCTAGTAGCGACACGCCATGTTATAATCTACTTGCAACGGATTAATTCTCATATTGACAAATAGCTCACTCTTCTTAGCAAAACAATTCTTTTCAGTCCAACTAACGGAGAAAGAGGACCAATGCATCCATGGACAATAACCTTACGAGACAATTTATAACACATCGACAACCAACTTTAGTCTAACGACATTTATAGGTGCGTCGACACTACAATCATCCTTTTCATAGTAACATCAATGGGCAATAACCATTTTTTTATATCCATCCATGGACAATAACCTTACGAGACAATTTATAACACATCGACAACCGACTTTAATCTAATGACATTTATAGGTGTGTCAACACTACAATCATCCTTTTCATAGTAACATCAATGGGCAATAACCATTTTTTTATATCCATCCATGGACAATAACCTTACGAGACAATTTATAACACATCGACAACCAACTTTATACGAACGACATTTATAGGTGCGTCGACAATACTATTATCGTATGAACAGTGTGTTATACACTTCGAATAGAATTTAAAAAAAGGGTCTAAACAAATCTGTCGTACCAAGTAATTCAAAATGATATGTTGATGTAATTAACATATTTGTGTCAAAAGAGGGAATTATGTGCAAAAAGCTTCTATAGAAGATATATTAATTAGCACCAAACCTGCATTTTTCGATATAATATATAATATAATATATATATATATTACATTCTAGTTAAACGTTCAAAGGTCAAGGCCAAGGAGTAGGCACCTGATAATTTCAAGTTTGATAAGGGAAACAATTCTGATTACAATTTGAAATCTGCGAAGTGTAGGAGTCAGCTTTGAACCAGCCAACCTGAACTTACAAAATACAAACAACTCTAAAAAGGTTTAATGGATTTTTGAAAGGCTGGAAATGGCAAAAAAGAAAGATTGAGGGATAATTGAATGAAACCTTTTATATCTCTTTAAAATGATGTCCCTACTGAAGAATATCCAGCAGCTCTCATCTCCTTGAGAGTTCCAGCTAACCAGTCTAAGCCTTCGTAAAGTCCATCTCCTCTGATTGCACACGTTCCTTGTATGTGCCATCTTCTCTGTTTGAGATCAAATAGACCTAGTCCCTGACATACTTCCATCGGCGTCATGGCTCCTTTCTGGATCAACGAAATCGTTCAAAATTTCATAAGAACGATCCAAGAAAATATCGATGATGCAAAGGCTGAAGCCAAGGGCTAGACAACAACCGTTCTAATATAGAAAAATCATTATTGTATGAGTAAACGAACTTGATTGAAAGAAGAGAAGTACGGATATAAATAAAATCGTGTTGCGAGAAGAGCAACAAACCAACAACAATATCCAATGGTGAAGAGTTAGAAACGAAGGGAACTTTTTGGTTATAAACACCCAAGAGGTAGGGGATTTAAATGGGTCGAGGCCAAACTTCCACTTAAACACACTACGCTCGTAAAAGTTTTCCTGTTCTGATGCAAACTGTCCCACAAATAACCAAGATGGCAACTCACCAGAGAACCTTTATCTTATCTTGAGGGTAAAAAAGTAAAGTACCTACTCCAACATCAAATGACAAGTCCAGTTATGAGCCAAATTCACACTAAAATTCTCTGAAGCTTAATTTCAAATGAAAAACCACACACTGATGTCTCCATGGTAAGTAATCCAGTTCCAAATCCTCAAGAGCACATATACAAAAAACACACCATCGATTTCCTTTATATTCTTCTTTATATTATGTGTACGTGTATCATTATATCAGTAAGAATTTATCCTTATTGGCAAATGATCTTTCTTCCACATAAGACATACAATCTTTTTTCTTCCCAAAATTCAACTAAAAGAAGTGTACACTCGGTCCCATATGATATTTTTAAGTAATTCTTTTACCTGGTCAAAAGGATTGTCCTTTCTGACTCACAATAATGTTTGTTGGGTACGTAGCAAAGCA